CCAAGATATCTTTGCATATTAATATTTGGGATTAATATTTTTTCAAATAATTTGGTGTAAAAATTGGTTTTCAAAACACATCTATTTGTTTGATTTACAAAGTGAATCACAAGACTAAATCAAGGAACAATAAAATAAGTGATATCGAGTATGGAAGAACTTGTTTTTTGCAATTTGATTTCTGAGTGTTTCCCAGGTTTTACAATTTACAATAGTCTTTAAATAGAGAAGAACATAACAAATTAACAAGTGATAAGTCGACTTGGACACTTAATGCTTGGAACTTTCTTTTTCAATCAATAGACTCTCTCTATCTTTTGTTGAGAACCTCTGTGTGATTCTTCAACAGTTTAGATTCTTGGCCATTGAGTGTAACCAATAATAACTAGGGTTGGTGATATCCTTGATACAAATATGTCAGAATCAAAATCTGAAAGTTCGCATAATATGAACTTTGCAGAATCAGAAATAGTATAATTAATTTTTGGTATACACATGTTAGCTGGGTCTCTCGTCTCTAGTCTAACCATGCAACCTGTATGTATATATAACCATGCGACCTGTATGCATATATATTTGACCCAAGTTCCATGTTGTGACATTTACATAAACGAAAAAAAGACCTAACTTTAACCTTACAAATTTACAGAATATTTAATCTACATGTTAACTCTCTAGTTATCTTAGTTTCAAAACAAAAACAAAAAACTCTCTAGTTATCTTCAAAACTGTGATTTGGTTGGATGTGCAACAACGCGATAGAGACGTCTCTGTCAGAATCTTGAATATTATAAACTATCTCACAAGAAAGCTACTGAAGCTATCTCTAGAGCCATTCCCTGATTTTCTAACTAACCCGTTGGTTGGTTCTCCTGAACCTCAGGTTCCTTGCTGCTACTTGCCTGGCCGAAACTCGGCTGTGATGTTGTTTGATTCTACAAGAACATTAACAAAAAAAGGATTTTTTGAGCATAGCTAATTGGCTATCGTAGAAACAGAGGAATAAGCACAAGGGGTACTGCGACCAGCAATGGAGGAGGTTGTTGCATCTGCTGGAGACCAATAAACTGGCTATAAGGATTCATATAACCCGGAAACTGAGGCTGGTTCCACACCGGGTTAGGTCTGGATGGGTCATAGGCTGGAAAAGGGTAGCGTGGCGCTGGATATGATGGACCTAGGCCCTCCACATGACCTTGATTAGGAAAAGGTATGAGTGGGGGCCGGTTCATACCCATCATCCCCATCGGCATGAACCGTTGCATGTCGGGTGTATACATCACTGGCATAACACCGCCTCCCACTGACATCATCTAGCATAACAATATCGATTCAGATATTAAAATCTTAGTCATGATCTGAAGAAAGATTCTTCTAAATAATGCTGTAAACTTGGGAGGGAAGCTAAATCATGTCTTCAGGAATAGGACATCTATAAGTAATAAGGCCATCCATCTAGACGGAGTACCAGTGTTTTGAAGTAGATAAGACTTGTATTTTATCTTCCATGAAACTTTATAACCATTTTTTAGAAGACGAATCAGCAGACATCAAATCTAATTAAACAGCCTGTTTAGGAACCAAAACCTGCGGAGTCGCTGGTTGATAAACAAAACAAAAACTCTAATCGTCCCCCGCAAAATTAGATTCGTTCTAAACTGTTTCCATGTTCAACTATATTCTGGTTCCGCAAGACATTTGCTTTTAAGTGTTTTTGAGGAAACACCTGTATTTGCATCTGCAGCGATTTCACGTACTCGATAGCATCTTCCAGCAAGGAAGCTTTATCAGACTGAAAAGCAGAACAAATATTTCAATCTGTTGAACAAGAAAGATATAATAAGAAAACTAAGAGAGACCTTGTTGCTGCGAGGAATGAGTTCTTGAAGAGCCTTCATCCTATCGTTGATCTTTTCTCTCCGTCTCTGTATCGAAGGAAAAAGAAGTAGACTTTAACAGAAATGAAGCAGAGGGTCCATTGTCGAAAACAAACCAATTCAGAATCTTGAAATAAAAATAAAAATAGAAAGGAACCCTTTCGGAGAGATTATGCATTTCTGCAGCTCGTGACCTCTTCCTAGATGTTGTTGTTGAAGCAGGAGCTTCTTCAGTTTCCTGCTATATTTGCACGAGTCAATTCGACTATTGACTAACACGCGTCCATGACAGGTTAACCTTAATACGGAGAGCTCTGAGACTCACCTCGGTTTCTTCTCTCTCCTTCCGTTTCCTGTCTTCTTCACCGGCGATTTCAGTCTCCGTCGCGGGTCGGATATTAATCGGCTCTGTCTCGGCCTTGCAGACGACGGAAGATGAAGTTCCGGCGATCTCGCAGACAGTCTCAATAGCCACCTCCTTTGCTTTCCAACTACGACCAGGAACTGCAAAAGTGTGCGAGACTCCGCCAATGCCTTGCGTCGCTGGTGTTAGACATGATACAGCCACCGAAGACGACGGAGTCCCGCTCGAGTCCACCTGCGTCGAATCTCTCAACACTGGAATCAACGGTCCAGCTCCGGTGAGTAAGTTCCCTCTGAGTCTCGCGAAGTTCGTAAAGTTCTCCACCCTTCTCGCGGCGATAATCTGGCTTGCC